GATAATACTTTCAATACTTAAAATAAGTAATTAATTAGCCAGTGTTATATTTATATAAGGGACATGCAAACGTAAATAGCAATACCTCAAATATAGTTTCTCTTGTGTGTTTTTGCTTAGCATCCTTACTCTGTTCTAATATCTTATAACATATCTGTGCTAAAGTCCTGCAAGTATTACAATTATAACACATTATTTTAGAATTAACTTAGAATAAATTTAATAACTTAATGCTCCATAATTTACATGACAAATGAATTATCAACAATAGGCGGTCTCCATATTTTATGCAATGGAATCTGTAGCCATCTATATAGAAGTTCCAATGCTTTCTGCCTGGATTCCTCCCATTCTTCTTCAATATCTGATTTTGTGACTTTCTTACGCTACAAAGAAATTCATATCGATATCCATATAACGTCATCCATATAACTTTATAACATATAGACAATTTCATACCTTTCCAATATTGTTCTCTCTTATATTTTTTACATGTTCTTCAATATGACAAATAAACCATGAAAATAAATATGCCAACATATTGTTAATGCATAGATATATTTCCCTATCCTCTTCTTCTGTAATATCTTTGCCATGATCAAATATTTTTTCCTGTTCATCCAAAAGTAATTTCACAGCTGAAAGTCACATATGTACAATTTAAGATTATATTAAAATAATTAATTTATTTTAATCAATTACATATTTATATCTATTGTAAAAATGTAATATCACTATTTTTAATACAACAATAGAACATCTCAAAGAATATTACCCTTGTGAATTCTACTGAAAAAACGTAGACAGACCTGAAGTTCTACTTTATTGCCATGAACAATAACAGAAAAAAATGAGTCAAAATGATTCAAAATAAAATGTGCTCCATTTGATTGCAATGCTAATCGTGTAGCTGCAACATAAATTAAAATAAGATTTTAAACTATCTTAATGCAACTATCATTTTAGTGATTTATACACATTAATAACATACAACAATATATTCACAATAACTTATTAACTATAAACAATTCGATACAATTTTAAATTTATTACACTCAAGAGCTTCAGATAGCGCCCGTAAAGGAATAATCTCTTCGACAAAATACTGCCCAGCATGTGAAGTTAAAAGCTCGTCCTTTATTAAAGGAATCACAAATTTTTTCACCATTTTCACGCGTAATGAAACTATCACCCAAAATGTCAAGCACTGTTAGAGATTCTTTATATTACTCTATAATATTTTCATTAAATATCAAATATCTAAAAATAATATTTTGTTATTTGTCATTTATACATCGCAATCAAATATGTTTTTTGATCTTTCTAATAAATTTTTGATTGGATATAGAATAAAACTTGATCGAGTTCAAACAAATGCTAATCAACGTCACTAACGGAAAAATTAAAGGCGCCTTTTCATAGTGGATGCATTCAGAACGACAACCGCTCACTGAGCTTTCATTGAGCTCTTTTATCTGATTGATTTATATTTTAGGATCTAATGGAATATGCCAATCAGATGAAAGAGCTCATTGAGCGCTCAGTGAACGGTTGTCGTTTTGAATACACCCAATGTAAATTTAAGATACGAGCTAGCAGATGGCGAACTTGATCACGTGGTTTTCAAGTGCCAAGATTAATTCCGAATGATACAGAGCTAAACTGTCCTTTAAAGTTAGATTATAAAATGAAATTGTTTATTTTTAAAATATTTTTTTATATTATTTTTAAATTGTTTGAAATAAATAAAAAATATCCTATTAATTGAAAATATCTTTCGCTTTATTAAAAACTGATAATAATCTTGTGGCTGTATTTTCATGCTGACGATTTGAGCGTCGAGCGTCAACATGAAAATGCAGCCTTATATTAAAAATAAATCGTTACACAAATAAATGTAGCAGACTTATACGCAAGATGTGTTTTCTTAAAAGAAAATACCACATTGCAAATAAATTTTTGCAATTAGAAATTTATAAATTATATCACTTGATTTATAGGCTGTGGTCAAAGTCTCGCTACAAATGCTTTGAAGCGTTTGATGGACCAATTAGAAGAAAGAATTTTACAAACTGACCAATTAAAAAAGCTTTGACATCGCATTGATCATATTCGTCTCAATCTTTAATATATTAATACAGTTTGACTTTATTTCATTCTATATATGCAACACAAGCATTAACCTAAAAATTAACTAGCAAATTCTTTGTTTTCAAATACATAATCTCAAATTCATAAAAAGGAAAAGAAATTAAAAACGACTTCCCTCGTTAAATATTGTCCATAATGTATTCCATCAATTTCTATTTGATAGCATTTGTTTGAGCGTTTGTAGATTCAGACATTATAACAGCGTTTGTAGATTCAGACATTCAAATACACTATTTGTTTATTACGAATCAATTAGATACATTATCATAAACATACATATGAATTTAATTTAGGCGCGAAAATCTACATTAACTCTGCGAGCTCGATTGGCTCTAGAAATGTTAATACCGACGCAGATGAGATGACATGTAGCAGAAAGATGCGAGTTGCCGAACGATTTTCAAGTAAAAGAGCAAACAGACGCCTCCGATTTGCAATGCCGAACGCACTTATAGGTATGGTATGTGTATTGTATATTTATGTACATATCTGTATATAAATTTTACTTATAATTATAAAAACTTGAATTACATTGCTTATTACAAAACTAATCTTTTAATTTAATAATTATAATTATTTTAAAATTGTCTCACATACACGCGCGCACACACACACACACACACACACACACACACACACACACACACACACACACACACACACACACACACACACACACACAC